AGCTGAGCAGGCGCGGTGATAGATGCTGGAGGAAGAATTCTCCAATGACAGCCTTCTGTAGGATGGAAGAGAGCAGAGAGAGGAGGGCACCCACATGGAAGAAAAATATATTTGAAATATATTTTAATAATATTCTTCCCAAATATATTGACATATATTTGAAATACTACAATTTCGGCCATATTCAATATATATATATATACACACACCGCATGCTGAAATGCATTTTTTATATATTGCAAAATATATGAAAAATATTTTTACAAATATATATTTTTTAAATATATTCTTCAGATTTTCTTTAACATATAAAAAAGTAATTTTACTGTGTATTTTTACATATATTTGTAAATGCATTCCAGAAATATAGATTTGTGTTTTTAAATGCATTCCAAAAATATAGATTTGTATTTTTAAAGACATACAGTATATTTGAAATGTATTTTTAAAAATATTTTTCATATATTTTTTAATAAAAATGCATTTCAATATATATATATATATATATATATATATATATATATATATATAAATAATTTTTTTTTTTATTGGAAAATATTTTGCAATATATTGAATATGGCCAGAATTGTAGTATTTCAAATATATGTCAATATATTTGGGAAGAGTGTTTTTAAAATATATTTCAAATATATTTTTCTTCCATATGGGCAAACACAGAGCAGGCATCCTTTGCAGTACAGGCATCTGCTTGGGAGTGATGGTGTCCTGCCCTTTTTCATGTCTCCCTTTATCATGTAGCACATCACATAACCAGAGATTGGAAGTAGTAGCTGCCTTCATTCCCAGTGGGTGCCACCCTGAGAAGATCTAAACTGTGAGTACACAAAGGGTGTACAGGAAGCAACTTTGTACCCTCAAAGCCCCAAAAAGCCCCATAGCCACCCTTCAGCCCCCCTCCCTCTCCTAAGGCTACCCAGGGCCCATTAGTTCTATGTACCCCACAAAGTCCCCAGCTCAGGGGCGGACTGACAACTCATGGGGCCCCCGGGCAATAGGGGATCATGGGGCCCCTGTATCCTTGCCCAAACTCAAAAAAGCCCATGAAAAAGGTACCAGGGGCTTCTCATGGGGCCCCCTACTGACCCCGGGCCCTCGGGCAGTGCCCGAGTTTCCTAATGGTCAGTCCGCCCCTGCCCCAGCTCCCCTCCTTCATCCTACTGACACAGAACAAGCTGGGGGTAGTCATGCATGCTTGCTCCCAATCCCCGCTCTGCGTGTCCATAGGACACAGAGAGCAAGGCTTTTCCCCACCCCCGCTCGCTCGTCACTGGCTCTGAGTACCAGCAGCGGGAGCCACTGTATCTGAGCCAATGAGGAGCTTGAGCTCTCATGCACAGTGCTGGATCAGGTTCAGGTAAGTATTTGGGGGGGGGGGGCTGTGAGGGGCAGCTTCAGACAGAAGGTTTACAAAAACTTTGAGCTCCATCATTTGACTGCAGGCAGGTGCTATCTTATAATAGCAAAAGATAAAACTGACACTGAACTCTGGTTTAAAAAAAATATATATCAAATATGTATTCTTGACTCAGAAAGCCCCTTCTATTGCTCTCATTCTCCTCCAAATTCTTGTTTTTACTGCCACGGTTATCTGACTTCCTCTTAAAAGGTTGGGTACATTCTTTCTTTATGGTCCCACTGTATGTAGGAATGTGGCCACCCTCTCTTGCTTGCTCCTGAGAGGGGCTATGGACTATGGGAGGTGTAGTGTGCATAGAACAGTGTACGTGGCTCCACTTATTATGCACTGTTCCTTCCAAACAAACAGATGTGATGAGGAAAAGGAGATGTTTGGGATCTCAGGGATCATGTTACAAAGAGAAAAACACAGTAAGAAAACATATCATGAAAAAGAGCTTACAGGGCGATCAGGCACAAGGAGCTGAGAGAGCTGGGGGAGAGGAAACAGCAGGTTATTGATCCTCCCAGTGAAAGGCTGTGTGTGTGTGGGTGAGGGGCAGGACAAGTCTAATCATTGGAGAACAGGCTGAGTTCCCAGCACAACCAGAGAACTGACCACACTGGGCTCTCATGCCTAGTGTGGTCAGTTTCAGTTTTTGATAGGAAACCAGAGGGACTGGCAGGCTAACCGGATCACCAGGGATATCTCACAAAGGAAGAACAGGATACTTTTTCATACAAGTACATGGTACAGCAGGCACAGTATCAGGAATATGAAATGTTAGGGTAACATTCTTTAAGTGGTAGCAGTGTATGAATTATTAATTCAGAATATGGATATTGTTTAGTGTCACTTTACAACTGCCTTTGTAGCCTACCCATAAAGATACACTCAGTCGGCACTTTATCAGATACTCCTACTCAGTGGTGTATTTAGCGTTTGTGCTGCCCTAGGCAACACTAAAATTGGGCGAAATGCACAATTGTCTGTGTTTTATCATGTTTAGGAAATGCTCAGGTGTAGCCTAAGGAGGGGACACTATAATAGTAAACCACATCAGGCCCCATTTATACAAGGAATGTTAGGCAACATTAGGTGTGGGATGACCAAAATTTGTTCGCAAAAAGGTTGCCTCATCTGTCTGTACTGTAACTGTATATATCAGTGGTTCTCAACCTGTGGGTTGCGACCCCTTTGGGGGTCGAACGACCCTTTCACAGGGGTCCCCTAAGACCATCAGAAAACACATATTTCCGATGTGTAAAGAGCAGCTACTGTGTAGAAAGCAGCTGCTGTGTTGAAAGCAGCTACTCTGTTAAAAGCAGCTACTGTGTTGAAAGCAGCAGTATTGGAGGTAAAATTACACTCATGAATTATAATTACTGGGTAAATAATTTTATGGTTGGGGGGTCACCACAACAGGAGGAACTGTATTAAAGGGTCACGGCATTAGGAAGGTTGAGAACCACTGGTATATATCATTGCATCTAAGTGTAGCCAGGTGAAATATACCTTGGTTTTTTTCTAGATAAATTGGCTCTTGTAAATATCTCCTCATTTTTTCACTATTAAATGAAAAGAAGCCAAAAATAGTAAGACAAAATCTATATTCTTTTACATACATTTCTTAGGCTAGGTTCACGTATGTGCGGGTGGTGCAGCTGTGGATCCACGTGAAAATCCATAGGCGGATGCCATTATTTCCAATGGCATGCCTCCCACACTGGAAATCGCAGCCATACTTGTAAAATGGTCATGAGAACCACAATCGGGTTCAGGGTAGGATTTGTGCTGCTGTTTCTAACTTTTCGAGCAATGAATTGCACGTGCACGCCGGAAAATGATCACACTGACAACTGTGCAGTATAACCACGTCCTCGTCTCTGTTTATTGCAGGGCGGTGCTTAACCTTTTATACATAGAGAACAATAGAGTATACGTCATTATTATGTAAATATGATCATAGTCTAAGAAGCACATTTTGGTTGGCTGAAATACAGAAAGAAGGCAAGAACTTGAAGCTTGTCGCCGTTATCTCTTCACTCCCTCACGTATTCAAGGCCGTAATTGCAAGATCCGCACAGCTCGGCGGGAGGGGTCGAGAACATCTCTGAACAATCAAGTTGAGGAGGACTGCAAAGCCCAGCAGACAAAATATATACACACAACACATATATTTAGAAATATAAAAAAGTATAAAAGTAAATACGTACAAAATGTATATATTCAGGAGGAAACCGAATAGGCATTTTACCAAATCCATCACACTGGGAACTGAGGTTCCTTTGCAGGCTGTGTTTTCAGAAGGAGTGCAAGGACTTCTTCCCTGCATGTCACAGGGCACGGGAGTCCATTCAAATGAATGGGCTCTTGTGCCCGCGCAAAACGCAGCCCGCACGGCTGCTAGATGTGAACCAGGAGTAAGGGTACAGTCATATTCAATCCATGGATCCATCTTGTCAGTGTAAAACAACCCAGTTTGGGCTTCCAGATATTCTAGTCAAAGCTTAAAGGCTCGTTCACACTTGACTTTATTTCTAACTCTTGCCAAATGCCCCTGTAGCATTTCACAGGCGTTAGACAGGCATTTGGGAAGCGTTTTTAACGCTCCCCAAATGCCCCATGCGTGGTTTTGAGGCGGTTGATAGGTGCCTGCCAAGCATTAAAACCGCACCACAAATGCCTATAATGAAGTTAAATGGTTTTAATGCTCCTTAACTGCCTCGTAACTGCCCTGCAAACACCTACCAGGCATTTGCGGAGCGGCACCATAGACTTGAATGGGAGGCTTCAACTCCTCCTGACTGGACAAGAGGCATCTGTTTTGGCGTGGTGCTAACGCTTCAGTGTGAACAACACTGTGTGCTGCTATGTGCAGGATTTTCATAGGAGTTTGAGAAGCGTTAAAAACGCTTCCCAAATGCTTGCTGACAAAGCTAGTGTGAACTACGCCTAGTTGCACAAACTGAAGTTAGAAGCATGGCTACCATGCAGAACTGCACCATATTTTGCACTCTCCCATCTTAATAAAACAACCTCAATGTGTACCCCTTTATTGATGCTAGATAGGTGTACTAAATACAGTAGCCACTAGTTGGACAAGGCCTTGATCACACCGGCGCCCTTAAAGAAGACCTCTACCCATAAGAGGAAGTTCGCTTTAAGTCCTCCTCCCCTGCCACATTTGACATATAATTTTTTGGGGGAGGAGCAGAAACCTAGTTTTGACAGGTACCCGCTCCCAATTCTGCTCAGATTTACTAGGCAATTGGAGCAGAAGTTCTCTCCCCCTCCATCCCTACAGTCTTCTGAGACACATTCACAAAGCGTAGCGCCGGCTACCCACATATAGGATCCCGGCACTGGGAACCAAATGCCAAGTGAAGAACTAGCCCAGGTGAGGATGGCGTTGGGTCCCTGGACAGGTAAGTATCCTTTTATTAAAATTCAGCAGTAGCTGCTGACTTTTAATTTTTTTTTTTTTTTTACAGAGTGGATCTTCTCTTTAACTTTCCTAAAAGTAATCCAGAGTGTGGCTCGGGGTTAATTTTCAGTACCAAAAGCAGTAATCCCGAGTCACACTCGGGATTACACTGTAGTCCTTTTCCTGCGATCCCCCCATCCTTACCTTGTCCTGTGATCCCTTGATCCTTACCTTGTCCTGTGATCCCTTGATCCTTACCTTTTCCTGTGATCCCCCGATCCTTACCTTGTCCTGTGATCCCTTGATCCTTACCTTGTCCTGTGATCCCCCGATCCTTACCTTGTCCTGTGATCCCTTGATCCTTACCTTGTCCTGTGATCCCTTGATCCTTACCTTGTCCTGTGATCCCTTGATCCTTACCTTGTCCTGTGATCCCCCGATCCTTACCTTGTCCTGTGATCCCCCGATCCTTACCTTGTCCTGTGATCCCTTGATCCTTACCTTGTCCTGCGATCCCCCGATCCTTACCTTCTCTTGTGATCCCTTGATCCTTACCTTGTCCTGTGATCCCCCGATCCTTACCTTGTCCTGTGATCCCTTGATCCTTACCTTGTCCTGTGATCCCTTGATCCTTACCTTGTCCTGCGATCCCCCGATCCTTACCTTCTCTTGTGATCCCTTGATCCTTACCTTGTCCTGTAATCCCTTGATCCTTACCTTGTCCTGTGATCCCCCGATCCTTACCTTGTCCTGCGATCCTCCAATCCTTACCTTGTCCTGCGATCCCCCGATCCTTACCTTGTCCTGTGATCCCCCGATCCTTACCTTGTCCTGTGATCCCCCGATCCTTACCTTGTCCTGCGATCCCCCAATCCTTACCTTGTTCTGCGATCCCCCAATCCTTACCTTGTCCTGCGATCCCCCGATCCTTACCTTGTCCTGCGATCCCCCGATGTCATCCCGCTGTGTCCTCCAGCCGATGCCGGCATCCGTCTTCCGGGTTTTCTTCCCTACGAGCATCGCAATGCAGGGGGGTGGAACCGGCGGGAGATTCAAAAAAAGTAAAAATATGACATACACACAATACATTGTAATCTGTTAGGATCACATTACTGTATCAAACCATTTCACATACATTTTGTCCCGAGTGCTTTGTCCTGTGCCCTGCCTGCATTTTGACTTTTCTTTCTGCCTGGAAACTGAGAAACGTTTATGGCGTCCAAAAAGCATCCCTTTAGGTCAAAAGCGGTTTTAGACCGGCTAGAGAACAGCGATAGTAAATCAGAACCACTTGTAGAATTGAGTGATAATGATTCGTGGGGGAAATTCATCATCAGACACTGAAAACGATTCTGCGACTTTGCTCAGCGATGTGCGAACTTGGCGCTCTATTTCACATTTCAGTGTTTTTGGTTTGATTATATTATTGAATTAAATTTATTATTACTATATTATTTTTATGATTATTTATTATATTATAATTTTTGATTTCGTGTTTCAAACTTTATCATACCCGGGATGTTTACTAGACTCTTGTTTGGACAGATTTAAGTGAGTTATTCCTAAGAATTACAGGCCTACAATATAAATCAACAAATTTCCATGCAAAACAATGTACCGCTTTGACATTTAGACCACCAGGGAGGTTAAGCCTGTGCGAGGGCTGTGTTTACCTGCACAGGGGTGCACAGGGGTTCCGTGCATCTGCATGGTTGGAGTCCCATTCCTGTCAATTGGGATGCTGCAGCTGCACAGACACAGCTGCTGCTCCCAATTTGATATCTGTGTGAGTGTGGGTGTGCGCCTGGGGACACACACGACTGTCAAACTGGAAGCAGTGGCTGTGTACGTGCAACGTAAGATCCCAATCTAGCTATTTTAACTTTATTTCATTCACAATTTTTTGTTTACATTTTTGATTTGATTTTTATTTAATTTATGTTTTTTTACACCAAAAATGCCACATTTTTAGGCATACAGCCATTTTTTTTAAAAATGATTTGAATGCAGCTCATTGCTTGGGGCTATACACACAGGCATGTAAATATCAGAAAACTAGTGCAAGGTTTACATTAATGAAAAAGAAAAAACAAAACTGGTCAGTGTTTTATGCACGCATGCACAAGTATGCATGTAAATCACCTTCCCCTAAATAGTGAATTATATTATAGTTAGAAGAATGTTTACATGTATATGTATGTAAATGCACTACACGGACCAAAGTTGCCATTTTTTGCGCAGGAATTTTCTGCCAGGAAGATCCAGCGTTCACAAATTAGTGCCATGTGCAAAAACCCATTCAGAGGAGAAAGAGTACAGATTCTACAGCTAATGTTCGCCAATCACAGGCTATCACAGTGATCATGTGACTGGGATACGATCCTCGGTCTGTTTGCTGGGTGTGCGATTTAGTGACCTTCCAGCACTAACACAGGTACGCGGCCCTCATCCCTGAAACTGCATACCTATGTACTCTCAGCAGGAACAGCAGAGAGAGATATCATTTCCCCGGTACAAATCATTAGTAAGACCTCATCTGGAATATGCAGTTCAGTTTTGGGCACCAATTCACAAAAAGAACATTGGGGAACTGGAGAAAGTACAGAGAAGGGCAACCAAACTGATACGAGGCATGGAGGAGATCAGCTATGAGGAAAGATTAGAGGAACTGAATTTATTCTCTCTGGAGAAGAGGAGATTAAGGGGGATATGATCTCCATGTATAATACATAAGGGGGGATATATGATCACCATGTATAATACATAAGGGGGGATATGATCTCCATGTATAATACATAAGGGGGGATATGATCACCATGTATAATACATAAGGAGGGATATGATCTCCATGTATAATACATAAGGGGGGATATGATCACCATGTATAATACATAAGGAGGGATATGATCTCCATGTATAATACATAAGGGGGGATATGATCACCATCAAGGGCGGACTGACAACTCATGGGGCCCCTGGGCAATAGTTTGATCATGGGGCCCCTGTGTCCTTGCCCAAACTCAAAAAAGCCTATGAAAAAGGTACCAGGGGCATCTCATGGGGCCCCCTACTGACCCCCGGCCCTCGGGCAGTGCCCGAGTTTCCAAATGGTCAGTCTGCCCCTGATCACCATGTATAATACATAAGGGGGGATATGATCACCATGTATAATCCATAAGGGGGATATGATCTCCATGTATAATACATAAGGGGGGATATGATCTCCATGTATAATACATAATGGGGGATATGATCTCCATGTATAATACATGAGGGGGGATATGATCTCCATGTATAATACATAAGGGGGATATGAGCTCCATGTATAATACATAAGGGGGGAGATGATCTCAATGTATAATACATAAGGGGGGATATGATCACCATGTATAATACATAAGGGGGATATGATCTCCATGTATAATACATAAGGGGGGATATGATCACCATGTATAATACATAAGGGGGATATGATCTCAATGTATAATACATAAGGGGGGATATGATCACCATGTATAATACATAATGGGGGATATGATCTCCATGTATAATACATAAGGGGGATATGATCTCCATGTATAATACATAATGGGGGATATGATCTCCATGTATAATACATGAGGGGGGATATGATCTCCATGTATAATACATAAGGGGGATATGAGCTCCATGTATAATACATAAGGGGGGAGATGATCTCAATGTATAATACATAAGGGGGGATATGATCACCATGTATAATACATAAGGGGGATATGATCTCCATGTATAATACATAAGGGGGGGGATATGATCACCATGTATAATACATAAGGGGGATATGATCTCAATGTATAATACATAAGGGGGGATATGATCACCATGTATAATACATAAGGGGGGATATGATCACCATGTATAATACATAAGGGGGATATGACCTCCATGTATAATACATAAGGGGGATATGATCTCCATGTATAATACATAAAGGGGGAATATGATCTCCATGTATAATACTTAAGAGGGGATATGATCTCCATGTATAATACATAAGGGGGATATGATCTCCATGTATAATACATAAGGGGGGGATATGATCTCCATGTATAATACATAGGGGGGATATGATCTCCATGTATAATACATAAGGGGGGATATGATCTCCATGTATAATACATAAGGGGGGATATGATCTCCATGTATAATACTTAAGAGGGGATATGATCTCCACGTATAATACATAGGGGGTATATGATCTCCATGTATAATACATAAGGGGGGGATATGATCTCCATGTATAATACATAAGGGGGGATATGATCTCCATGTATAATACATAAGAGGGGATATGATCTCCACGTATAATACATAAGGGGGGATATGATCTCCACGTATAATACATAAGGGGGGATATGATCTCCACGTATAATACATAAGGGGGGATAGGATCTCCATGTATAATACATAAGGGGGGATATGATCTCCATGTATAATACATAAGGGGGGATATGATCTCCATGTATAATACATAAGAGGGGATATGATCTCCATGTATAATACATAAGGGGGGATATGATCTCCATGTATAATACATAAGGGGGATATGATCTCCATGTGTAATACATAAGGGGGGATATGATCTCCATGTATAATACATAAGGGGGGATATGATCTCCATGTATAATACATAAGGGGGATATGATCTCCATGTATAATACATAAGGGGGGATATGATCTCCATGTATAATACATAAGGGGGGATATGATCTCCATGTATAATACATAAGGGGGATATGATCTCCATGTATAATACATAAGGGGGGATATGATCTCCATGTATAATACATAAGGGGGGATATGATCTCCATGTATAATACATAAGGGGGATATGATCTCCATGTATAATACATAAGGGGGATATGATCTCCATGTATAATACATAAGGGGGGATATGATCTCCATGTATAAATACATCAGTGGTTCATATAGTGAACTCAGTGTAGAGTTATTCACCCTGAGGTCATCAAAGAGGCCGCCTATCAGTGTGCATCAGTGCCACCTATCGGTGCCCATCAGTGCTGCCTATCAGTGCCACCTAAAAGTGCCAGTCAGTGTCGCCTATCAGTGCCAGTCAGTGCCGCCTATCAGTGCCATATATGAGTGCTGCCTTTCAGTGCCCATCAGTGATGCCTGTCAATGCCCATCAGTGCCACCTACCAGTGCCTCCTCATCAGTGCCCATCAGTACCACCTATCAGTGCAGCCTATCAGTGCCCATCACTGAAGCCTCATTAGCGCACATCAGTGAAGGAGAAAAATCATTTATTTACAAAATGTTATAACAAAAACTAAGAAAAAACTTTTTTCTTTCAAAATTTTCAGTGGTTTTTGATTTAAGAAAAAATAAAAAACCCACAGGTGATTAAATACCACCAAAATAAAGCTCTGTCTCAAAAAAATTATAAAAATGTCATATGGGTACAGTGTTGCATGACCGCGCAATTGTCATTCAAAGTGTGACAGCGCTGAAAGCTGAAAATTGGCCTGGGCAGGGAGGGGGTATAAGTACCCTGTAGGCTAGCGGTTAAGAGCACCTGGTGCATTCCCAGCAGCAACCTATCAAGTAACAGACAATGCTGGGATATAGAAGACGTGTGAACTTTGTGTCCCCTTTAGAGCTCTATCCTTAGCAGGCCCTGGAATTAATAAAAATATCATTTTAAATCCTTTTACAGTAAAGAACTTGAGTAACACAGAGCACATTACCAACCGCAGAAGTGCCTCAGGAAAGTACTCAGTGGCTTCATCTTGGCTGTGGTTAATAGCAGAGAAATTAGAAAATCAGATTCATAAATCACAGTTATAAAGAGCTTTCAAGCCTTCTGAAAACTGGCTACACTTAGGTAATGGCACTAGGACAAAGAATGGCTCGTCTGTGCATTGGCCACAACAGAAATCCAAGCAGATTGGGAAACATTGCCAACTAATTTAGTTTTGTGTTCATAAAAAAAGAAACAAATTTGTCTAACTACTATAAGAAGACTAATCTGTCTTTATATTAGCTTACTGAAACCTCAGGACTGTGAGGGAAGTAAGATGAGAGCTGAAGACTCAGGTCTGGTCACTAACCTGTACTACACAAAAGAAATGAAGATAGGTCTCTGCTCAAATTCAAATAGCCTAAATCTGAATTCCAGGCAAAAAAAGAAAAAGTTTTCCCTTGCAGTGGGGCTGTGCCCACACTGCAAGGGTTAATTTCTTGTTTTTGTCTAGGGAAGAGATAATGGGAGATATACAGCTGTGTTCAAAATAATAGCAGTGTGTTTAAAAAAGTGAATAAAGCTCAAAATCCTTCTAATAGCTTTTATTTCCATACACACAAATGCATTGTGAACACGACACATTCTATTCCAAATCAAAACATGAAGAAAAATAGATCAAATTTGTGTTGTTCCTCTAAAAAAATTGAAGAAAAGTGAATATTAGACGGTTCAAAAAAATAGCAGTGTTTGTATTCTTCTTTACAAACTCAAACATTCACTATATAAACGGAAAAATGTTTGAAGATTTTGCTTTCCTTTGAATGACTTCATGAATATTTGGTTGTAGTCACACTGTTTCTGAGAACTGCTGTACATCTGTGTTGCATGGAGTCACCCAACTTCTGGCCCCTGTGATCAGGTATTCCAGCCCAGGATGATTGGACTACATTCCACAGTTCTTCTCTATTTCTTGGTTTTGCCTCAGAAACTGCATTTTTGATGTCACCCCACAAGTTTTCTATTGGATTAAGATCCGGGGATTGGGCTGGCCACTCCATAACGTCAATCTTGTTGGTCTGGAACCAAGATGTTGTACGTTTACTGGTGTGTTTGGGGTCGTTGTCTTGTTGGAACACCCATTTCAAGGGCATTTCCTCTTCAGCATAAGGCAGCATGACCTCTTCAAGTATTCTGATGTATTCAAACTGATCCATGATCCCTGGTATGCGATAAATATAGGCCCAACACCGTAGTATGAGAAACATCCCCATATCATGATGCTTGCACCACCATGCTTCACTGTCTTCACAGTGTACTGTGGCTTGAATTCAGTGTTTGGGGGTCGTCTGACAAACTGTCTCCGCCCACTAGACCCAAAAAGAACAATCTTACTTCCATCAGTCCACAAAATGTGGCGCCATTTCTCTTTAGGCCAGTCAATGTGCTCTTTGGCAAATTGTAACCTCTTCAGCACACGTCTTTTTTCAACAGTGGGACTTTGCGGGGGCTTCTTGCAGATAGCTTGGCTTCACATAGGCGTCTTCTAATTGTAACAGTCCTCACAGGGAACGTCACACCTTCTTTCATCTTCCTGGAGCTGATTGTTGGCTGAGTCCGCGCCATTTTGGCTATTCTTCTATCCATTCGAATGGTAGGTTTTCGCTTTCTTCCACGCCTTTCAGGTTTTGGTTGCCATTTTAAAGCATTTTTGATCATTTTAGCTGAGCAGCCGATCATTTTCTGCACTTTTTTATATGTTTTCCCCTCTCCAATCAACTGTTTAATCAAGGTACGCTGTTCTTCTGAACAATGTCTGGAATGACCCATTTTCCTCAGAATTTCAGAGAGAAATGCACTGTAACCAGCATGTACAACATTTGCTGCCTTCTTTCCTTAAATAAGGGCAATAATTTCCACCTGTTTTTCAAAGAATGAATGACCTCACTAATAGAACTCCACACTGCTATTATTTTGAACATGCCCCTTTCAATGAGTGATTCAATTACACAGAATCAGCAGCATGCATGTCATGACTGTTGGGTCTGTTGGATTTCTATTACTCTACTACACCTGCTAGTAAATTATTTGCCATGTAGAAATATCATTTCCACCAAAAACAGTGATTGATCCAGTTAGTGATGTCTGACTGCTATTATTTTGAACACAACTGTACTTACCTGGTCCTCCCTGCATAGGACAGGCCTCTGTAGCTCCTGCACCCCAACGCTCTAGTTGTCTTGAGAATTTGACTGTTCCTGGCACCATAGACCTGTTCTGGACATCAGGACACCAGGAACAGTCCATTGCTGAATTGTGTGGGAGCGATGTTTGCCAGTGGAGCAGAGGATCAGGTGAATAGTCTTCTCTGCTCTGGACAAAATGAGCTCCTATACTCTCCTTGTGCAGGGTGACTGGTCTTGCCTCTCCCCCTTCCCCGTAGCTTGTAGTGGGTGGAGCCTGTTGGGCCCCTTCCACAGCTCTGCTTTCCGCACAAGCTATGTACAGCACAATGAAGATGTCACTGCTACTTTAACCACTTAAGAGTCGCCCCATAGCAGATATACTGCTACAAGGTGGCTTTGCTGTACAAAATCATGTAAATATATGTGATTTTGCATTTCTGGGTAGGAGGCGATGCATGCTGTCCTAGGCACACCGCTATTGGCTGCTGGTTATGCCAATCACTGGGTCCCAGCTGGCAATTCCCAGCAGGGACTCGGTGATCATCAGCAGGTCTGAGAGGGGAGAGATCTGTATGTAAACAACACAGATCTCTCTCCTGTCAGCATGGACATGCTGCTCTTTATCTCTCTGAACAGCAGAGCGATACAAAGCAGCATGTCTCCCAAGTAAAACACACACAGCACACATAGGAAAACACACAGCACACTGTTAACACTTTGATCACCCCAGATGTTAACCCCCTCCTGCCCAGTGTCATTAGTACAGTGTCAGCACTTTTTATTAGCACTGATCACAGTATTAGTATCACTGGAGATGTCAGTGGCAGTTAGTTCCCACGCAGTCCCGCTATAAGTCACTGATTGCCACCATTACTAGTATAAACAAAATTAAAATAAAAATGTATCCAGTTTATATACCGCTATTTGTAGACGCTATAACTTTCACAGAAACCAATTAATATACACTTATTGGGATTTTTTTTAGCAGAATACATTTTGGCCAAAATTTATGAAGACATTTAATTTTTTTATTGGATATGTTTTATAGCAAAAAGTCAAAAATATTGTTGTCCTTTTTTTGTTTATAGCGCAAAGAATAATAACGCACAAGTGATCAAATACCACTGAAAGAAAGCTCTATTTGTGGGAAAAAAGGACATACATTTCATTTGGGTGAAGCATTGCATGACCACACAATTATCAGTTAAAGTAATGCAGCGCCATATCACAAAAAATGGCCTGGTCAGGAAGGGGGGGGGGTAATTCTCCTGGAGGGCAAATGGTTGTACAAAGTAATATGTAGCACCTTCTAGTGTACAGTTAGATTAGGTAAATGTATGCTGACTCACAGTGGTCATCTGAGTCTGGATAATTGCTGTGGGTCCAGCTTAAGGTCAGGCTGGAAGGCTCTGCAGATCAGGCCTCTATCGTCTCCCCCTGGTTCTGGAGGTTCATGGAAACTTCTAGAAGCTAGTGGGTGAGGGTACAGAGGCAGGGATCTGAATACTTATGTGAGTTTGACCAATCCCCAGGCACCAGGCAGGAGGCCTGGCAGGGTGGTAAGAAGGGCCCATAAATATTGAAAAGCCTGGCCAGTGAGTTAGTCTAGTCTGTGGTTGAGTGGAAGATGGAGTGCTGAGGATCATAAGGTCTGCGAGGGGACCCTGGAGAATGGGGCTCTGCCTCCAGGCTGGGGCTGAGGAGGAAAGGAGAGGAAGCTGGAGAGTAGGAGAAGATGGAGAGAGAGAATCCCCACTATCCTACAGTCTGATTCAATAGACAATATATGTAGCATGGGAAGACTAGCACAGCAGAAATCCTGAACAGCAGTCTTATCCAAAGCAGCAGGATACAAGGGATAGTGTGAGTACCTCTACAACCCCAGGGCCTACAAGGGAGAAGGCTGCCAGATGCAATATCCAGCATGCTTTCATGGGGACAGTGTCACAGCCAGGGGCGGACTGACCATTTGGAAACTCGGGCACTGCCCGAGGGCCCGGGGTCAATAGGGGGGTCTCATGAGATGCCCCTGGTACCTTTTTCATAGGCTTTTTTGAGTTTGGGCAAGGACACAGGGGCCCCATGATCCCCTATTGCTCGGGGGCCCCATGAGTTGTCAGTCCACCCCTGGTCACAGCTAACCTAAATGCCTTGCTCTGGGATACTTTGCAGAAAATATCAGCCCACATGGCTGACTTGTAAAGTATTGGGACTTTGTGAGTTTCACCCAGGGTTCATAGAGCTCCTAAAAGAGGAATCTTTGCTATTGATCTTTATGTTATTTCTGAGGGAGTACAGTCCAGGATCTACATATTTTTGTGTACATAGAGAAGGATGTTTGTGCTCAGATTGTTCTACCAAGTCAAGTTGGGCATCTGATATTCCATTATCCCTGTCCAAGTTGTATTCCCCTCAATAAAACAACAAAATCAAGCCCCTAGACTGGTCATTGACTGCGGATGCAAATTGGAAATGCATGTTGCCTGGCTGTGCAGGAATAGGGGTACCCAAAAATCCAGCAGCCCTTTTAGGGGGTAGCACTAGAAATATATTGGTTTTCAAAAGTATTTGGTGCACTCAATTTATATTCTTTTTTGGCTATTAAGAAATATATTTAAATTTACTTTTCGTCCTGGAGTTTGGCAATAATAAATGAGGCTGCTATCAAGTGGGAAGAATAGGGGGTCACAATTAACATATAGTTAATATAATACATTTTTGGGATAATATAATCCAATTTTACTTTTTTTTACAGTTGCATGTTAGGACTTTTATTTATTGTCAGTGGTTACTAACATGGGCACCATGCTGAGATGTAGTATCATGGTTCGGATGGAAAAAGGGGTGGACAGGAGGGGCAGCCTACCCAGGCACAGTGTTGTTACCCAAGAAGAGGGGGTGCTGTTCACAAGAGTGGAGAATGGGCTTGCCAGAGCAGGCAGGAAGTACACCCATCTATGTCATGCATTAGCAGTAGGTTAGGGGGGCACAATTCTGCAATTTAGCCTCAGGCACTGGATGACCACTGTGTAGTAGACTCTACTATCCATTTAGGCTAAGAGAATACTTGTCAGAGTAAGAGACAGCGGTGGATTCAGAGAAATCCAGGTTTTCGGTAGCAGAGCTATGGGCACAGTTCCCCATCATGTATTCTCACTCAGTAAGTTATAATTTACCAATACTTTATATGGGCATGCAGATTTGGTGGTTTTGCCATTAAAGTGAATACGTGACTGATAAGCACGAATGCAGGATGTTCTCTATCTGATAAAACACAAAACCGTATCTATTAATAACAGATGCCAAAAAACACAGTAAACATCGCAGTTTTGGAAATTACATTGTGTTACATTTATAAACTGTAGACCACATTCAGATTATTAATAAATGCCGGATGCAACAATTGGGCGCAACAGAGACATGAAAGCGTACGCGACAGCCATCTTGTTAAGGTCTTTGCCATTTTTGTTTTTCATGAGCAGTAATCCTCCTCCCTCCTTCTGAAAGTGGAATGTGTAGCTGTAAGTTGTAAAGAACTTCAAAAAAGCCTCTTATCTTAATTAAAACACAAATAGACATCAGCTCCAGAACTGTAAACCGCTAATTAGTCTTGGCAGGATGTCTGATTTCCAGGAACCATAAAAAACTTTTCTCTGCCCTATCGTAAAACAATAATAAATCAGTCAAGCAGTCACACATGACCTGTTAGTCCATTAGAGCTCTAGGAATGCAGAGTGTGCCATAAAACGTCTATTCCACATGTAGAAATTCCACATACAAGACATAGAATTCAACAGGAAGAGGGCACATTAATATTAGGTATATATTTGAATAGGGAATATCGTACCGAACAAATCAAGGTCATACATGACTATGTTAGCACATAGGAAAGGGGAGAAAGCAGCCTGCTCCCTCCTGGGGGACAAAGGTACGCTGTGTTTGGTATTCCTGGGTTTGAAATATAATTCTGAATAATAATCTGCCAGTTGCTAGAATACCACCTGCACATAAGGGAAGTTATTAATATTAGTATGAAACTGTAGTTGGGAGTTGGTCATAAATTTGGTGACCTCCTAGCACCCATCCCCTAAATCGGATGATTGATCAGTTGTTCTCAGGTGACACCCCTTTTATATCATAGAAGGGGACTGACCGGATTTAGTAAGGGAGCTCTCGTTTTAGCATCAACCAAGAAAAATCTTAACAGACTTGAGTGCTAAGGCAACATTTTGCTTGGACAATTGCTAAAACCAGGACTTTTCAAGTATTCTGCCTTCTAAAGTCCTTTCTTTTAGTTCTCTGTTGCTTTATTGTTCTCTTTATTTCTGTGTAACATCTTTTTCTGTAAATAATTTAATTGCACCATTTTGAAATTTTTAGTAATAAACCCTATTTTGAAAAGCGTTGAATCGGTCTCTAAAGCTTTAAAACGCAAACTAAAGAATTCGTCTCTTGAAGAGTGCTACTGTACAGTATCTCACAGAAGTGAGTCCACCCCTCACATTTTTGTAAATATTTTATTCTGTCTTTTCATGGGACAACACTGAAGAAATGACACTTTTCTACAATGTGACGTAGTGAGTGTACAGCTTGTATAACATGTAAATTTGCTGTCCCCTCAAAATAACTCAACACACAGCCATTAATGTCTAAACCGCTGGCAACAAAAGTGAGTCCACCCATAAGTGAAAATGTCCAAATTGGGCCCAATTAGCCATTTTCCTCCCCAGTGTCATGTGACTTGTTAGTGTTACAAGATCTCAGGTGTGAATGGTGAGCATGTGTGTTAAATTTGGTGTTATCGCTCTCACTCTCTCTTACTGGTCACTGGAAGTTCAACATGGCACCTCATGGCACAGAACTCTCTGAGGATCTGAAAAAAAGAATTGTTGCTCTACATAAAGATGGCCTAGGCTATAAGAAGTTGCAAAGACCCTGAAACTGAGCTTCAGCACGGTGGCGAAGACCATACAGCGGTTTAACTGGACAGGTTCCACTCAGAACAGGCCTCGCCATGGTTGACCAAAGAAGTTGAGTGCACGTGCTCAGCGTCATATCCAGAGGTTGTCTTTGGGAAATAGACGTATTAGTGTTGCCAGCATTGCTGCAGAGGCTGAAGTTGCGGGGGTCAGCCTGTCAGTGCTCAGACCATATGCCATACACTGCATCAAAGTGGTCTGCATGGCTGTCGTCCCAGAAGGAAGCCTCTTCTAAAGATGATGCACAAGAAAGCCCGCAAACAGTTTGCTGAAGACAAGCAGACTAAGGACATGGATTACTGGAACCGTGTCCTGTGGTCTGATGAGACCAAGATAAACTGATTTGGTTCAGATGGTGTCAAGCGTGTGTGGCGGAAACCATGTGAGGAGTACAAAGACAAGTGTGTCTTGCCTACAGTCAAGCATGGTGGTGGGGAGTGTCATGGTCTGGGGCTTCATGAGTGCTGCCGGCACTGGGGAGCTACAGTTCATTGAGGGAACCATGAATGATAGATATCATGTACTGTGACATACTTAAGCAGAGCATGATCCCCTCCCTTCAGAGACTGGGCTGCAGGGCAGTATTCCAACATAATGACCCCAAACACACCTCCAAGATGACCACTGCCTTGCTAAAGAAACTGAGGGTAAAGGTGATGGACTGGCCAAGCATGTCTCCAGACCTAAACCCTATTGAGCATCTGTGGGGCATCCTCAAATGGAAGGTGGAGGAGTGCAAGGTCTCTGATATCTACGAGCTCCGTGATATCGTCATGGAGGAGTGGAAGACGACTCCAGTGGCAACCTGTGAAGCTCTGGTGAACTCCACACCCAAGAGGGTTAAGGTAGTGCTGGAAAATAATGGCGGCCACACAAAATATTGACACTTTGGGCCATATTTAGACATTTTCTCTTAGGGGTGGACTCACTTTTGTTGCGCTTTTAGACACTTTTTGCGGTTTAGACATTAATGGCTGTGTGTTGAGTTATTTTGAGGGGACAGCAAATTTACATGTTATACAAGCTGTACACTTGACTACGTCACATTGTAGCAAAGTGTCATTTCTTCAGTGTTGTCACATGAAAAGATATAATAAAATATTTACAAAAACGTGAGGGGTGTACTCACTTCTGTGAGATACTGTATAGAATAATCCTCTGAATATATCAGTCTGTGGTGACAGTGTGTGTTGCAGAGGCTTATGCTACAATCATAGTGTTATTGCTAGGATTTGTGAGTTTCCTCTTTCTCTGTAAAAAGACGGTGGTGGCAGTTTGAAGGGTCAATTGCATAATAAACCTAACCCAGTGACAATCACTCTCAGGCTGCTGCCACATAAATTATTGTCCTGCTAGCTGGAAAATCTTTGTGCAGGGTGCAGCTGAGAGTGGCATTCTTATGCATGTATAAGGTTAAATCCCTCCCTGGATAGGTCTGGATCCTGGGGCCTCTGATGTGGACTGGAAAGGTGCCAAAGATCCCTTTAAGGGATGGATAGGTCAGCTCACCAGATGCTCTCTAGAGGAGAGGGGACGCAGGAAGAGGTGTTGGTTGTCATGTAGGTGAGCTCGGCGCTCCGCTCACTATCACCGGGCTGAGCCGGGAGAAGATAACCCAGCTTTCAGAGAGGGAGCCCCTGTACATCTAGTGAGCTGACCTATCCATCCCTTAACCTCCTTGGCGGTATGATTCTTTCTGATTTTTTGTGCTGAAAGCGGTACCATTTTTGCATGGAAATATGTAGTTTTTTATTGTAGGCTGTAATTTTTAGGAATAACTCACTGAAATCTGTCCGAACAAGAGTCTATTAAACATCCCGGATATGATAAAATTTGAAACATGAAATCATAAATTATAATTTAATAAATAATCATAAAAAATAATAATATAATAATAAATTTAATTCAATAATATAATCAAACCAAAAACACTGAAATTTGAAATACAGAGGCAAATTCGCACATCGCTGAGCAAAGTCGCAAAATCGTTTTCAGTGTCTGATGATGAATTTCCCCCACTAATCATTATCACTCAATTCTGCAAGTGGTTCTGATTTACTATCGCTGTTCTCTAGCCGGTCTAAAACCGCTTTTGACGTAAATAGACGCTTTTTGGACGCCATGGACTTTT